TGACGTGTCGTTTGTATATTAAATTAAAGAATATATCGATAAGTTGATATAAATGTATCTCGATAATACTTCAAAAAATGAAAGTTTGCGGCAAACCGGTAAGCGCTTATTTTTTAGCATTAAACGGATTGTATTCTTGAGACACGTTTGACATTGCGGAATTCGTTTCATAATATTAGTTATACGTTTGCTCCTTTTGAGAATATAATGTGAAACTTTCTCTCGGCTTCCCTTGAGAAACTGAAGGAATGCTCGATCAGCCGTTAATTCTCAATTCTTAGCCGTGGCCGCGTTAAACTGTTGCAAATCTTCGACACGGATGAATGAGATATTTCTTGCGTTCTCGATATCGTATTAGTCAAATGTTTTTTTTTACGATCGTTATTACAAGATTATGTCGTAATAACAATCCATCAATTGTTTTCCGAAATAAATACTAATTAGGTGCGAGTTACGTTCGATTGATCGATACTCGGTGAGAAAATACTAACAATAGAACCGGATTCTGCGGCAAACAGATAATTTCTCTGATAAGTAATAGAATCAAAGGAATGTCTAGTAATACAGGACATAAATCACATTCGAAAATCTTCATCACATATAATTGCATGATTATAATTTATATTATATAATATTAATTTAGTTAATTATATATTAAGTGAAAGAATACGCATAAAATACTCGAGAGTTTCTACTTGATCCTTATGTATTACACTATTATTAATCAATTTATGAAAATATTATATCATATAAATTTAATGCGATGTGACGTATTAATTGAGCCTCATGATCTAATAAGAAGATAATTTTTTCATACCTGCATTCTTGTAAATCTATAGGATAGTCAAAATGGATATAATTAAATATATGTGAGGATAAAATAAATGCGTGAGGGGATTTAGACCGTCTAACTAGATAATTGCATACCGCACCATTAAACATGTTTGACATGGTCAACCGAGAGCTGCGTAGATGTAAGAGAAACGTGAGAAACATGATCTTGTGACACGTCAGTGTCTCTTCCGCCGTTTCTTAGAGAACCAAGACACGAAAGGAGGAAATTAGTGTAACGAAGCTGTCATCGCAACACGCAAGGCGGCAAAAGACTACTTATTGGGTTAAGGACGCGGGATGCATTTTTTTATCACACAATTTCTTACCGTAATCGTTCATTACGTCTACAGTCTAAATTTTTTAAATTTGTCAATAAATTAATTGTGTGTGCAATCTAATTTATTGAAAAGATAAAGATGTATCAAGATTACTATCACCTATCACACAGGTCATTATTACCTTTTATTTACGAATGCCATTTTCGTAATGAAAATGGAACCTTTTAAATTTGTTTAGATCTTTTTTTTTACAAAATGTGATTATATACCTATGTGTCTAACTTACAATTTATAAAATTTTAATATTTTTTGTTAATTTAAAAACTATTGACGAAATTATCAAGGTATTAGATTATCAAGGTGCCCCGTTATTTATCTGTTCGTCGTTCTCTATTTCTTTCCTTATGAATGATGTATTATTGATGCAAATTTTCGATTAATCCAGAAACCTATTCGAACTTGGATATTAACGTTTTTCATTCTCATTTCAGACGATGTATTCTGACGGTCTCTTGACGCTCCATTATGGGAAACATCCAGCGACCTTGGCCGCAGAGGTCGGGGCCTGGTACAGCGGGGACCGTCACGTGGACGTGACACTGGCGTGCGACGATGGGTCCGTCGTGAAGGCCCATCGCGTCGTTTTGGCAGCCGCCAGTCCCCTCTTAGCTAGTCTACTTCGGAATCCTGCCCTGGATCATGTGGTTCACTTATCAGGCGTCCGAAAGGCACAATTAAATCATTTACTGGAGTTTTTATATAACGGAGAGGCATTGATACCGGTATGAACTTTTTAAGACACGTAAGCAGAATATATCTCGAAAGAAAAAAAGCTTATTAACATAACATTGGCGTGCAGAAAATATTTCAAGTATTTGAAGTGCGCTGAGCAAGAATCTTATCTTACGTAATTTTGTTCAGTCGACAGAGCTTACACCATTGAGGGAGCTCTTCGAGGTTTTGCAGATTAAGTCAGAGCTATTTGAGCCCAATCAACCTCAAACTAGTAACTCTGATCCCGAAAGAATATCAACTCCGCAGCCTTCAGAAGGCCAGGAGAGTTCCAGTTACGAATCCCAATACGATGGCAGGTAGGTAGATAAATCTTGTTTACCGAGTTTGTAAAAGTAAAAAAAAAATAATAATAATTAGACGAAATGTTTTAAAAATCTTGTGCTTTTCAGACAGTCCAATAATCCCGCGGACTGTTGCTCAGTCCTCATCAAAACGGAAGGCTGCGAAGAGGAACCGGAAGTGGATGTGGAAGGTGTGGAAGGCGAAAGTCTTCTCTCGGATAACAGAGAGAGCAGCATAGAACCTCCCAGAAGAAGGGATAGTTCCGATCCTGTTAATCTCAGTCTCAATTCCGGCACTTCCGTCACAAGCGACAGCTCGCACGATATAATACACAGGTTAGACAACATTGACCGTTATATTGCATAATTGTTACGGCACACTAGCTAAAACTGTCTATAGTTATTTTATAAGCTACACCCGGGGTAGAACCGGGATGGAGCGGAGAGAAATAGAATCCTCACGATGTCTTGGTTTGATCGTAGTAGGTCTGAAAAGCCGATATTTGAGAGGCGAGAATCTCTTGAGGAGGCTGAAGAGAGGAAGAGGCAGCTGGCGGCGCGGCTGGCGTTAGGCTTAGAATCCGGGAAGAGAAAACTCGAGGAGATACCGATCCCACCTGCGGAGGCGTACGTCGTGACGCCTCATCGAAAGCGAAGGCCAGGCTTCCACAATGCACCCGCACAAAATCCGGCCTTCGTGCCCTTTAATCCTGGATTCGAAACGCCAAGAAGGTTACAGGCGCCGCATCCTCTGAGCGTTTCGGCACCACCATATCTGGTTGGTTTTCAATAGTTTATCTCGAGAATAGATTTCAAACATTAACCGTCATTATTGATAAACACGCGCGATCAATAAGCTTGTCTAACAACTGGCTCCATATTTCCTTCAAACGTTTACTTCAATAGATATATAATATATATTGCAATTTCGCTTAAGTCGTTATCTATGAAGCGTTGTTGATGTATGCAGCAGGATAGATCGGTGACACCGCCATCGCATCGACCACCGAGTGCCGATCCGACGTCAGCAGCGGCACTGGAGCCACCTTGGACTACCTGGACTCTGCCGAGAGCTCCACCGCCGCCACCGTCAACGGACGACCCGCCGAAGTCCACTCCTGTTCGAGAATACCGATGCAGCTATTGTGGCAAACAGTTTGGCATGTCGTGGAACTTAAAGACCCATCTTAGAGTGCACACGGGCGAGAAGCCTTTTGCGTGTAGACTTTGCGTTGCCATGTTCAAGCAAAAAGCTCACTTGCTGAAGCACCTTTGCTCGGTGCATCGAGGTGTGATAGCCGCTCCCGACAATACCTTCTCGTGTTGCTTCTGCTCGTCGTCGAACTTCGTCAATCTGCAGGACCTCATCAGGCATCTCTCGGGGCCGCACAATAATCTGCTGCTCAGCAGGAATCTACATCGCGAATTTGCGAATCACGAATAACGACAAAGTCAAAGACCGTCCAGTGCTGAAGAGTGTTCCTCGAGCGCACAATGACGAGTCCTTGAAGCGGCTTCTGATCCGAGCAACGCTCTCCCAGGATCTCGTTAGGAGGATGCGATCGAGGGACGCAATTTCTGTTTAGACCATTTTAAAGAATTATGTTTATACACAAAATGAGATATGTAAAATTATCATTCAATCTCCGCTGCTTTTCACGATACATTGAAGGGTATATCATTACAATTATCTTCTTCCTTAGTCTTTCATCTTTTGTCAAAAGTGTAATGATCTCTGCATATTTCTGTGGCGTGTGCTTTTTATAGTTTATGAGATATACAGTTTAATACGCCTTAGTTCTAAACGATCTAGAAGAGCTCTCATGGCAAGACATTTTCGGTATTTTCTATTGTCTTTCGAAAGATGAATAAAATCGATGTTAGAAAATAAATATTAAAAATAAAATTTACAAATGGTCTGAACATAATTTTAAATGCTGCAGTTTGTCTTTATATTTTTTTATTGGTTACTATAATTATTTCAATTCAGAATTGTTTAAAGGTTTGCGGGTTATTAATATGTTTTGATACATTATTAGTGCCTTTACCAATGGTTACTATAATTCTATCCAAGTCACGCAAAATAACTTTTTTTAAATAAAAATATAATATAAACAACACACGTATAAAATTTCCATTTTCTTGCGAATAAATATATTCTCTCGATTTAATTTATACGAAATTTCTAAAAATATTAATTCGATAAAATGTCGAATCAAAGTTTTATACGTTCTCCTTGAAGATAAACGGCATACAGCACTGGAAAAGGGTCTTTTTTTTAAGAATAATAAATAAGAAAAGAAAAAATCGATTTTATACATACAATGTATATTTTCTTGAAGTCGCTCAATTGCGATATTTCAGAAAGATCTTATCGTTATAGCTAAGCAATAACTTTGATAAGATGTTTTTGTTAATCGACGTGGTTCGAGTATGTACGTCAGAAATGATCGTCGATGACGATCCGCGAAAAGTACAAGGACGGATAATACGAACGAAGAGAGTCAATTACATTGTCACGCGTCAAATCTCGACGAGCTTGTAGGATTGAAGCGCAGTCTCTTTGTCGCGTCTTGTTTGTTGTTATTTTATTTTAATCGCTGGCACGTGGCAAATCCGGCAACAAGTCCCGTTTACCTCAGCGCGTGCGACTAATCTCATAATGTAAATAATGTTAAATAGGAACTAGAGGACGGACTAGAATTTATTTATTTCACTCTATTGCAAAGGGACCAACCGACTTTCCACCGATTTCTGTCTTAGGTAGATCTTAGGTGTCCTGCCCGCCAATCGCCACGAGTTAAACTGCTACGAGTTAGAACTGTATATGATTTCGATCACGAACACGAAAGTATTCGATCGGAATCGAGGGAAAAGAATGAAATTATGAAACCTCATGCAGGACGGAAGGGAACATTATCGGCGAAATCGATAATGCAAATCGCGGAAGACGCAAGTTATGATGTTGAATTGTTGATACAATTTATTGTACAGTAAACAGCGACGTTGTTAATGTTCTGTCTTCTAAAATCCGTCTTCCACATTGTCGCCTTCCCCCCTCATCTTCCTCATTCCCGTCCTGACATTCATTCACAGTATGTCCTTCGGTATAACTTAGCGACTCGAGTGCCTTGTCAAATGGGTCCAAATTGGTCGATTGGGCAGTGATTTCATGTGTTCATAGGCTTAAGAGACATAGGCGTTTAAGATGACAATACGAGCTCGCTTAGGAAATGGAGGAACGTTGATGAATTCACGTTAGAAGGTTTTAAGATTCATTCGAATTAATTCAACTTTTCTTAAGGCTAGTTAGATCGTTGTAAGTAGTAGCTTTTTTTCTCTAATTTTATCTTTGTTTGGCGCAGGACGTCATATTTTTTTTTCTCTAGGTAGGCATTATTATTACCTAAGGTGCCTTGAAGAAGGGCCTCGACCTCATTTTTGCTTCCTTAATTGTACAAAAAACCGTCTCCAAGATGTTCGGAAGTGATTAAGCGAGGAGAAGAAATAAGACGCTCTCGAATCGGTTGATTGATGAGTTTGGAAGTCTATTCTGTTCAAAAGAACACACATTCCCTAAAAACGAAGTCAAAAACACTATCTTAATGTGACGTTCAATTGATCGAGTTGTAATTTCAAGAGATAAATGAAAGATATATACATTATATTGTTGTACAGAAATTAGAATATGATATAGGCGCTCTAGCTGAATGTAACTTCGATGTAAATTCGCTCATACCAAAGACGTTTATGAAAGTTGTCAAATAATATTAGTTAAATGTAAATGCAATATATTTTAGTTGTTAAATCAACGCGTGTCATGTCGAGAAGCACGTAAGTACTAAATGGCATTTGTACTTGAAGAATATTTTACAATCTTAATATATACTTGATTGTATATATGTTATCGATTGCAACGGTGATACGCATGTGGCAAGTTTGTACTGTACAGTAATTACGGTAAATTATCATCTTAATCCCGTGGTAATAAAAAAATTGTGTATAATAAAAGACATATATAAAGATGTAAATTTTTATGTACAAGTTTATAAAAAGAAAATATTTCTCTGCATCTCTCAAAGAGCGTCCTGTATCAATCAAAATAAAGCATCGCGCAGGAAAAGAACGGAAACATGGCTGATTGGTGTTCTCTCTTCATTACATTCTCATGTTTCTGCTCGCCCTCGCAATCGCGATCGCTCGGGGGGTGGAAGCAAATCAATCGCGGTGCGTCTTTTCTTATTCTTCTTCTTCACTTCCCTTCATTACGACGTTTATTTACGAGTATGTCGTAACGAGGAGGCGTACAAGAAACGGAGCAGAAAGTGAGGTTGGAGGGGTGGTGTGCGCTCTCGCGAAGCCAGGCAAAAACGGCCAGCACAAAACAGTGAACGTAATGTGATACTAAATGATAATAAAGCTAAAGTAATTATTGTTTAGCGTGCGACGCCGCGGCGCGTTCATGGCACGGGCGCGCGACTCGTGGTTCTCGGCGTGAGCAAGAGAGAATTGTGCGATCGCAAAAGGGGCAGGAGGATATACCGACGAAGGAAAAAAAAATCTTGCGAGTCGCCTGTAATAATATAAGCAATCAGCTTTTTATCAATCATTTTCCCCTTTACCCTTTCGCCCACCCTTATCACGCGCTCCCGACATCAGTCGTCCCCTCTTCTCGAGCCGTAAACGCACTAGGATTACGCATTATAGATTATTTTACTGTTAATTAATTATATTTAGCGCGCACGCACATCCGGATGTTTCCCTCCGAGATCCTATCCGCATTTGTCGTGGAGAAAAGAAATAGCAAAGATCTCGAATTTCGCTTTCGATCGATCGAATTTATCGAGAACGCGGGAGAAAATAATACTTTTTTGATAATCGACATTTTTGGGGACCTGGAGGTCCTTTGGCCATTAGATGGCAGTTGAATGATAAATTAAATTATGCATCGTTTAGTAAAGGGAAGATTTAAAGGATGTGAGAATAATAATTGGCATAATCTTGTGGAGAACATTGATTTTCTATACGATTTAATGTCTTCCATCATTGTTGTGCAAAGTTAGCGTCTTCTTTTCCTCATTCGGACATCCGGGTGAAACATTGTAGATTTTAAGCATCTTCCAAGCGGGGCGCGAGCTCCGTGTGCTTTCTTAGTGTTCATAGATTTATGAAAAATAAATTAAAATTAAAAGGAAAACTGGTGTACGACAAGATAAAAAGAAGCGAGCGTAATCGAGCGAATAAATTTGCCGATTTCCTTCTCCCATTCCTTTATGACCTATTGTAATTTATTGAAAGTTACGTTATTTAAATGCGCGATTGTGAGACGTGTATATATAGAAATTTGTAGGAAAATTGCATTTTAATTTAAACATTAATAAGCAAATCTCTAATGACTTTAATAAATTAGTTGAATGAACTATCTTGAGTTATTTCACAAATTGCCGCTTAAAAAAATTTTCAATAATTTTTATGCAATTAGAGGAGAAAAGAGAGAAAATGTGTATATTTATTTAACGGAATTTTACTATTTCCGTTCCAGGTATTCATATGCTTTCTTGAGAGCAGTGTATATATTGTCACGTTGTCCGTCGACTTTGGTTGAAGACTGCCATTTTTATCGGCGCGAACGAGAACGTAAGATCGAAGTCAAAGTCGAGTTAATTATTGTTTTCGCGAAACGAACATAGCGGTTCGGTTCACAGAATCTTCAAAGAATTCCCCAGGAGAGGCGCAAGAGACGTCGTCGGTTAACGGTCCGGGGACTTCTTCGGTTTTGTACAAAAAAAAAGTCACAGCGAGATCCGTTACTAGTGGGCTACGTTCCAGCCAGAAGGCCGTATGCCGCATAAATCCAATCTCGTCGGTGTCGATTGCATAATTACATCGCGAGTAACGTCTATTTCTCGTTTTATCGATTCTGAGAAAAATCGGCCTGTCCGATGTCACACACCTGTCTCGGAGCCGAACGTAAATAAGTGTTTGTACGAGGACCAGGTTGCTGGAACCGGCTCTATAAATGACTGTAGGAAGCGGACAAACATTTGCCTTTCATGATCGAAGACGCTCGGAAACGTGTCTTGATTGTAATTCATGCGTGATATAAGGCAATTAATTATAATACGCATAACAAATTATTGTATAAATAAAGACATCAATCGAATCTTTTTGGAGCGACAACAGAAATAGAGAGAAAGGGACAGAAAGAGAGAAATTCGTAGAAGCTTTTTGTGTAATCATTTTGACGCATGTAAGTTTTGCTTCTGATCAATTCTATCACGTACCTCAATTGTGTTACATTTCACTAATCAAACTTTCACGCGTAATATATTATTAAAAGCAAAGTAATATACCGTGCGTACCAAAAATTCTGGAACATCCAATTATCTCAGAAAGTATTGGTTTAGTGGAAAAATGTTTCAGGTAAAAGTTGGAGGGTTTAAAGAGGGCCAATAGAGGATCTTATTAGATTTTGGGTCTGAGGTTCGTGTTGAGTCCAATAGGGCCTACAAATCTATGTATATAGATTTATTTGTTACAAAAAAGTGTTATTAATGTAAGATAAGGATACGTTTGAATTTGCATGAAAAAAATCAGGAAGGTCTAGGAGAGCGGTAAGCGTGTAGTATTCACGAAAAACCTTAAGAGAGATCTATGAGCATTCTCCTTTAAAATCTTTAATTGAGGAGCGTATAGATCTAAATTGGGGATATGACGAATCAGAATTCTTCTAATCCGTTAACTTCGCATTTAATCCGAGAAATCATTGGCATTCCACGGAGTTGGTAGACCTCGCTCTAGCGCTGTTCCCGTAGGGGCTGCCGTCTCCAATCGGGAAGTACCGTTCGTTCTGAAGTTGCATAATGGATCTTGCATTTCTGGTTCTTGGTCGCGTCGCCCGATGGACTTGCCAAGAGATTCGTAGGCGCATCATTGACCAATGACCACTGTCTGCTCGGCCAGCGTCTCGGGCCACGGAGAGTACCGTAAGAGTACTAACACGTGGGTAACACAGAGGGGGTAAGACCTCTCGGTCAACGCTCCTGCTTAATGTATATAAAGGTTGGGGCCCCGATGGATGTTCGAGGCAGATCGTCATCAGACATGTTCGGGAAGATTATCCTAGCGCTCTCGGCTCTGGCCTGGGCCAGTGCCCAGATACCTAATATAGGTTTCTGTCCAGAATACATACCCATGGCGAACTTTAACAGGCAAAGGGTGAGTAACTTAACTATTTCAATAGCGAATTTATGCGTATTTATAGAATATACTGTAATTATGAGTCTTTAGTTATCGAACAAATGTCAGAGAAATTAAATTTTCTCTGACATTCCGCAGAATATTTGTGCTGTCTATATTATTGGCAATATTTTATCAAAAAGTTAATAGAATTTAAATTCCTTAATAATATTAGTTTAAGTTAACTTTGCGAATAACGGGTTTTTGATTTTCTTATAGTTCATGGGCGTTTGGTACGAAGCTGAAAGATACTTCCAGCTTAGTGAAGTGGTATCTCGATGCGTTATGACGAATTATACCAGAGGCATCGATGGAAAATACCGCGTGAGCAATGAAGTTACGAATCGTTTGTAAGTATATGTATTCTATATTTAACTCGTTTGACAGATATGTTTAAAAAAATGTATAAAAATACATTAAAAGTAACGGATTTTACTAATAATATCTCTGGCATTTAGCACCGGCATAAAGAGGGTGCTGGAAGGTGAAATTAAGCCCGCAGCTTCCAAGGCTGAGGAGGGTAAACTTCACGTCAAGTATACCACGGTTCCACTGGCTCCTGAGACGAAGTATTCGGTACTTGAAACGGATTACGATTCGTACGCCGTGTTATGGAGTTGTCAAGGCATCGGTCCGGTCCACGCACAAAATGCGTGGGTCATGACGAGGGAACGAATACCGTCCGGAAAAACACTTCAAAAGGTATGTAAACTTAGTAAAATCAAAATTATTAACATAAAATACATTAACGTGTTCCACATTCTATAAAATTACTAATACAGTATGAACAATATTACAACATATGTGCTCCAGGATTATCATCATTGCTACATTTTAAAATCCCATTCCGATTGCAGGCTTACGGTGTTCTTGACAAATACAAAATATCGAAAACGTTCTTCGTGAAAACCGATCAGGCGGAATGCGCCTATTTGGACCCGCCGTCGGAGGAGTCCGCGGAGAAACCCGAGGTGGAAAAGCCTGTCGGGGAGAAGCGAAAACGGAAACCGCAACCAGCCGAGCCGAGTGAGAACTTCAGATCGGCCATCGCTCTGAGTGATGCTGAGGCCGCGATAAAACAGAAGGAGGAAGCAGAAGCTGCGATCACGGGCGAGAAAGCGCCCTCCGATATCCCGAAGATAATAGCGGAGGAACCTGCGAAACTCGAGCATCCCATCGAAACTATTCCCGAACGGATCTTGCAGATTGCGGAAGCGATAAAGGAGGAGAGCGGCGATGCCAAGGATAAAATGATCATCGTCGAGGTCAAGGAGGAGAGCGTCGCGGAAAACCCGAAGGAGGAGAAGAGCGAGCTTGCGAAGGAGATAGAAGCAACTGCTTAAAAGTATCGTTTAGCAAAAAAAAAGTCTGATAGTTGGCGCTAGCAGGGACGTGTTAGGGGGATTTTCGACGTCTTAGGCTCGTAGCGGTTTCCTCACTGAGAACCAGTCTCGCTTAAGTACCGCAAAATCATTAATCACTGTCCCATCGACGCGTCGTCGTCGTCGTTTGAGGACATAGGGTTGGCACATGGCGCTTTGTTTTATAGGCTTACGTACAAATGTAAAAAAAAAAGAAAAGAAACCAAGATAAATAAAATTGTTATAAAAAATGTCTTAATAAAATGTATTCGTTTGTTTATTACTTCGCTGCGCAGATATAATAATACGCATATAAAATTGATTACTAAATACTTTGTAATATTAATAATTCAATTGTTACTTAATGCGTTAAGTCACATATCTAATATCTAACATAATATTTAATTAATGAGATGTCAAAAAATTGATTTATTTATAAAGTCGTGACAATTTATGAACCGAGTTACGATATGTGAGAGAAAATGTAGTTCTTAGACTCTTGGAAAGTCTTTTTAGCTTTCGCATCACGATGTGATGTGAAGTAGAAGCTAAATGTGTCATAGCGTTTTCATCGTAAACACAAGTATAACCAGGTCACATAACGGATATACTTTTCATATCATCATTAATAATTTAACTTTCAATAATGATATCGATTATAAATTCAATAATAGCAAAATTATCACTTAATATGCAAATGTCAATGTGACACTAAATATATATTAATGATCAAATAAATGTTCTTAATCTCCGCGTGCAAATAAAAATAAAATAGAAATAAAAAGTTTTTTTGAAATATATCTTTCTTGAATTTAGAAATATAGAATAATAAAATTCAGAAGAGAATATCTTGTACAAATATAACATAAAAAAGTATATTTTTTAAATGTGCTGTATAATTTCTTGTTTAATAACCTTATAAGTAGAATTAATTGTAAGATTAATTCGATATCTCTATAGTGCATGAATACTTAATCCGCGAATCTTTATGCATATATGTATATTTGTCGTAAATATGAAGTACATATAAAGCGAAGTATTTACGCTATTAAAATATTTTATCATTAAATCGCTCTGCAATATACTAATATGTGTTTATTGATCCGCAGATATTTTTTCTCGCATCGATTTCTATTATTATTACTGTTAAATCCCTGCAAGCGTATACGAGGGATTTTTCAAAAGTGGTTCATCCCGATCATGAAATGATCCACGTGCCTTCGAAACTGTCGATCATCTATTGGTCAATGGCAATTTCGAGCCGGGTTTCTTGAACCCCGGGCGTACCGTTACTGACCCACTAACTGTCAGTACGCTGCCAAACATATCCAGTCAACCTTCGCGGGTCCGTCTCCAACGAGCACGAAGCGGATCGCGGAGCAGGAAGTCCAGTCACCTACGGACGATCTGTCGTGTGAGCAGTACGACTTTAATCCTCGTCAATCTCGCAAAAATTGACATCCAACGTATTCTCTGGATATCCGACGGTCAAGGCCACCCAGGTGAGTGCCTATATTTAGCTCGAGCAAGATTGTATCGCCGATATTGAATTCAGACTCTGTTTCTCTCTTGTCCTTTCTACTTCGATCGTATTTCCTAATAATAAATTGCTCGTTGAACTACTTGCGCAAATAACCTCATGACAGGTAAATTAAAGAAATCAGGAAATTAGAAATCAGGTCGGTCGAGTTTAAATCATCCGTGTCCGTAGAATTTTCACATGACAGCTTACTGACTCATATCTCGTATTGTCGCATCGCAAGAAATGTTTATGTCAATATGAATTTCAATTCATTTTGCGATAAGAAAAGAAAAGATGATACTTGAAATATATTATTGCATGCTTCATTGTTGGCACGTGTGAATGATCGTACGTAAAGTGAAGTCAACACATTATGCAACATGAATGATAAAAACTAGTCCGGCAAGAAAAATGCATTTGTAAACCTTAGTGAAGTATGTCATGCAGAACAGTGCTGCATCGTGATATCATCAATTTAGAAATGTATACGCGATAATACGATATAAATAAAGAGCGCGCGCTCGTTTCCCTTCATTTTCCTGCA